ACACACACACACACACACACACACACACACACACACACAGTTGTCATTTTTTGTATCACCATTGTTCAAAGGTTTGGGGGCTGTAAGATTAAGTCTCTTATACTCACTAAAACTGCTACAAAAAAGTAATATCTTAAAATATTATCACAATTTTAAAAATGTTTTCAAAAATGTTCATATTGGAGTGGCCTAGCCCGTCTCCAGATCTCAACCCCATAGAAAATCTTTGGAGGGAGTTGAAAATCCGTGTTGCCCAGCGACAGCCCCAAAACATTACTGCTCTAGAGGAGATCTGCATGGAGGAATGGGCCAAAATACCAGCAACAGTGTGTGAAAACCTTGTGAAGACTTTTTTTGAAAACGTTTGATCTCTGTCATTGCCAACAAAGGGTATATAACAAAGTATTGAGATGAAATTTTGTTATTGACCAAATACTTATTTTCCACCATAATTTGCAAATAAATTCTTAAAAAATCCTACAATGTGATTTTCTGGATTTTTTTTTCTCATTTTGTCTCTCATAGTTGAGGTATACCTATGATGAAAATTACAGGTCTCTCTCATCTTTTTAAGTGGGAGAACTTGCACAATTGGTGGCTGACTAAATACTTTTTTCCCCCACTGTACATGTAAAATACTGATTTGGTGCTAAAGAAACATGTCTTATTATTAATGTTGAAAATGTTGTGCCGCTTAATATTTTTGTAGAAACCATGATACATTTTTTTCAGGATGCATCAATGAATAGAAAGTTCAAAAGAACAGCATTTGCTTGAAATGGCAAACTTTTGTTGCATTGTAAATGCCTTTACTGTAAATTTTGATCAATTTAATGAATCCTTGCTGAATAAAAGTATTAATTTTCTTTAAAAAAAAAAAGAGCCCAAACTTCTGAGCGGCAGTGAATATAATCTTAGTTAGCTGTAGTCTAGATGACAATAAACAAGCCTGTGCGTTTTTACACCAGAAAAGTGCAAAATAAGATCCCTTCCATTAAATTTTTTTATAAATAACAAAAATAAACTAAGCCGTTTACACCAGAAGCAGCTTCAGCTGATGGACATCGCGTTCCATTTCTGACACGCTGCAGCTACTCCATCCACTTTATTTTGCCCATCCATCTGAAATAATATGACTTTATTTACAAAAATCCTGTGCATGACTTGACTACCATGTATTTTATATTCAAATAACTTCTTGACAGTGATATCAAAGCCAGCTCGTGATGTCTCTGGTCTGTTAAAGGAACTGCTACCTGTCTGATCTGCACTGAGCTAACTGTATACTACACTAAACGTGCACAGCGGTATGGTAGGTATGAGGCCTCTCAATTAAAAAAGGTCTCTAACATGCCTGTTCATCCAATAAATATAATTAAAAACTGACAGAGTGTAGAGTTACTGGCCCAGTTGGCATCAAGTGTAGCGTAATGGAGGTACAGGACATTGTGTACGGTTCTGACCTTTTGCACAACGTTCTCCTTCTGCATCTGACTCTGTCTCAGTTTCTTCAGGAGCACCAACTTGGCCTCCTCCAGCCTGAGCTCCTCTCGGAGAGCTTTGATCATCTGCTGCCGCTCGTCGCCAGTCTTCCCCTGCAGAACAAACACACACACAAGAGGTCAGCAAACAGGTTTACGAGACTCATTCACAGGGTTTAATGGTGGGTAACCAACAACAGATCTGATTCCTCCATGGGATACTGCACCTTAAACATCTCCAGGTTGGCCTGATTCCGTTTCTCCTCAGGGTGAGGTGTGCTCCGGGGGCTGGATGCCTCGTTGTCTGATAAAATGATAACGTCTGGCGATGGAGTGCGTCGCTCCCGAACTATTTCACTATGATGAGCACAATTAGAGGAATTTTTAGGGGCACTTTAAATACTCATTTTTAAGGGAGTCAAGATGAAAAACAAGGCTTAGCAACACCTGCAGGATAAAATCATTAAATTATAATTTAATTTAACACCATACAGCAAAAACATACCCCACTTCCCAGAACATAAGTGTTTTTTTTATAATCTGAAATGTGCTACAATTTACATTCCAAAGCAATTTACACAACGCAGTTAATATCAAGCAAGCAAACGACTGATCCCAAGGTACGTGAGCCCAAGTTTTTTTATATAACGCATTTCCCTCACACCAGTAGTTTCAGTTTCGCTTTAAATACATTTGTTTAGTCCTGGTTAAATAAAGGTTGTATATAATGAATGACACTATTATTTGTGTTTGTTTTATACTTATATTCTGAACAGGGTTGTTATTAACTAAAACTGAAAAAATAAAAAACGGGGAAAAAAATAAATAAAACTGAAACTAAAACTAAAATGAAAACCATTAAAAAAAACATTTTCGTTCAGGGCTCCAGACCCAAAAAAAAAAAACTTAAGGAGCCATTGACTCCTATAAGAAACAAAAATAGGCGCCAAATTATTTTGTGCCACAGAATAAACGCGTTTTATTTTATTTATTTATTTTAAACACCTTAACATTTCAGTCATACTCTCATGTATTTATGTCTCCCCTGCTTTTACAGCATCAGCATTTTAATCCATCTTGTAGAAGTCAATGTCCTGTGGAGCCCAAGTTTTTTTATATAACGCATTTCCCTCACACCAGTAGTTTCAGTTTCGCTTTAAATACATTTGTTTAGTCCTGGTTAAATAAAGGTTGTATATAATGAATGACACTATTATTTGTGTTTGTTTTATACTTATATTCTGAACAGGGTTGTTATTAACTAAAACTGAAAAAATAAAAAACGGGGAAAAAAATAAATAAAACTGAAACTAAAATGAAAACCATTAAAAAAAACATTTTCGTTCAGGGCTCCAGACCCAAAAAAAAAAAAAAACTTAAGGAGCCATTGACTCCTATAAGAAACAAAAATAGGCGCCAAATTATTTTGTGCCACAGAATAAACGCGTTTTATTTTATTTATTTATTTTAAACACCTTAACATTTCAGTCATACTCTCATGTATTTATGTCTCCCCTGCTTTTACAGCATCAGCATTTTAATCCATCTTGTAGAAGTCAATGTCCTGTGAACTAAGGTTCACTTAAAGTGGGAACTAAACGTCTTTTAAACTTCAGAGAACTATATACAGTCATAAAGAATTGTTTAATAAACAGAATCTGTGCCAATATCATGGACCATAACCACCATCATAACCACAATCAGCATCACTTGGCCCTTGAGTGTAGTTCGGGCTCCTCCACAATACATCCTTTAAATGTTGTCATATGTCTTGCACACATCCAGACTTTTTTTCTTAAGTAACATGCAATTGTATCTTTAGCTCCTTGCATTCTTTCTTTTCATGTAAACAGGTTAAGTAAAACTATGAATATGCAATATAGCGCATATATTTAGCAAAATGCTCCTCTTTATAGTAATTTTTTCTAGCTGACTAATAGGGATGTAGCACAGTCGAAAATCTATTCAAATATGTGACAATTCAAATCGGTTGAGGTGGACAATTGGATGACAATTGGAGTAGGAGTTTATTTAAGTGTATCTCTGAGGGGAACTGACTATCTTTAGAAAAGTTTACCTGGTATTTTCTTTTCATCTTGCCTCTGAACAATGCATATTAAAGTAGTGTTCATAAGCACAGCTCTGCTTTGTTTACAGCGGTAACCTAAGAAACACTATCATTGCTATTCATAAGCGCCACCTGCTGTCAGAGAGTGAATCTGCGTCTCATTCAGTTCGTCTGCGGTTTCGTGCAGATATGTTTGATCTAGTATAGTTTCACAAAACTAAAGTCAGACCATTCTGTTTTTGCTTCAAATTTCTAAATTATACAGTCTAACTTAAGGAGCCATTGACTCCTATAAGAAACAAAAATAGGCGCCAAATTATTTTGTGCCACAGAATAAACGCGTTTTATTTTATTTATTTATTTTAAACACCTTAACATTTCAGTCATACTCTCATGTATTTATGTCTCCCCTGCTTTTACAGCATCAGCATTTTAATCCATCTTGTAGAAGTCAATGTCCTGTGAACTAAGGTTCACTTAAAGTGGGAACTAAACGTCTTTTAAACTTCAGAGAACTATATACAGTCATAAAGAATTGTTTAATAAACAGAATCTGTGCCAATATCATGGACCATAACCACCATCATAACCACAATCAGCATCACTTGGCCCTTGAGTGTAGTTCGGGCTCCTCCACAATACATCCTTTAAATGTTGTCATATGTCTTGCACACATCCAGACTTTTTTTCTTAAGTAACATGCAATTGTATCTTTAGCTCCTTGCATTCTTTCTTTTCATGTAAACTGGTTAAGTAAAACTATGAATATGCAATATAGCGCATATATTTAGCAAAATGCTCCTCTTTATAGTAATTTTTTCTAGCTGACTAATAGGGATGTAGCACAGTCGAAAATCTATTCAAATACGTGACAATTCAAATCGGTTGAGGTGGACAATTGGATGACAATTGGAGTAGGAGTTTATTTAAGTGTATCTCTGAGGGGAACTGACTATCTTTAGAAAAGTTTACCTGGTATTTTCTTTTCATCTTGCCTCTGAACAATGCATATTAAAGTAGTGTTCATAAGCACAGCTCTGCTTTGTTTACAGCGGTAACCTAAGAAACACTATCATTGCTGTTCATAAGCGCCACCTGCTGTCAGAGAGTGAATCTGCGTCTCATTCAGTTCGTCTGCGGTTTCGTGCAGATATGTTTGATCTAGTATAGTTTCACAAAACTAAAGTCAGACCATTCTGTTTTTGCTTCAAATTTCTAAATTATACAGTCTAATTTGGATTTAAAAAACGACTCATGCTGCAAGTATGCTGCATCTTTTTTTGGATCATGATTAAAATCCAGTGGTTGCCTCTAATTTTAAATCGAAAGAGTACAGACAAAGCCTTAGTTTGTTCATATTAAGCGATTTCTTTTATTCGTGTAATTATTTACTTGTTTGATTTGTGGTTTGTTTTAAAATTTCAATTTAGTTTTGTTATATTTCAATTTCACAAAGAAACGTGCAGCAATAGCCTAATAAAACGACACCTTTTCATTTACTGTATAATGTCTTCAATCTCATTTTGTTATAAAAAATCGTGAGAAAATCGAATCGAGAGTTGAGTGAATCGTTACATCCCTTCTGACTAATGAGCTTATGGACACTGAATGGTTATTCTGAGGTAAATGATTGTTGCGTGGCATTGTTTATAAGCTTTAAACGTTTTGCGCCGTGTGAAGCACCGAAGGAGCGATTACATGAGATATTTCAGTAAGTTGTACTGTAGACTCTCTTATAACATACTTTTTGGCATCCATTCATGTTTATTTCGTAGTATACACTCTTAAAAATAAAGGTGCTTCAAAAGGTTCTTCAAGCGATGCCATAGAAGAACCATTTTTGGTTCCACAAAGAACCATTCAGTCAAAGGTTCTTTAAAGATCCATCTCTTTCTTACCTTTTTATAATCTGAAGAACCTTTTTATGCCCCAAAGAACCTTTTGTGAAACAGAAAGGTTCTTCAGATGTTGAAGGTTCTTTATGGAACCATTTAGACAAAAAGGTTCTTCTATGGCATCGTGAAGCACCTTTATTTTTAAGAGTGTAGTAGTAAAGAGAAAGATATGATGGGTTCATATTTTAAAATTTTAATTTTAAAACTGATACTTTGCTAATTAAAAGGTAACAGAGCACAAAACTTATGGGGTTTATTGGACGGCAAGTGCACTTACAAATTATATGAAGTTCACGCAGTAACAGAACACAGCATATAGACTAAAGATCTTGATAACAAGAAGCCATATTAGTATCGATTATAAACGAGAATCGTTAACGATATTGTTAATGTCCACACAGCTGACAGGTTTACCTGTTGTAGTTTGTTCAAGTTGTGCACGAAATAGACACTGCTTGTCTGCACTTTTACATCGCACGTCTCCGTCATTTCGATCTCTCTCGTGCTGCACAACTGGAGCTGCTTTTAGCAGGTGTGCCATCAACGCTGGTGTTCGGCAGAGATGAGGACGGTTTTTCCACTAAAACTTTGATGCGCATCGTCTCCGTTTATTACGTGAACATAAAAGATGTGATCTCAAAACAATCAGGAAAAAAGGCATTACATGCAAATTTTATAGTCATAACATGTAAATTTATATAGTCGCCAGTGGCGATCTCAGCAAAAATATCACTCGCAAAGTAATATTTTTGGACGGAAATGCGACCGTTTCAGTCGCAGTCTGGAGCCCTGCGTTACTTGAAATAAAATAAATGTTAACTGAAATAAAATAAAATATTTAAAAAATTTGTTATTTCAGCTAGCTGCCAAGACAGTATTTTTCATTTAAAAGTCCCCTGAAATGCTTAGAATCACGCAGCGTTACTCTATGTGTTGTCGTCATTTTAACTGAAACAGGAAGACAGGGCGGGACATATCAAGCAGCCCCGCCCCTTTTTAAAATAGCCAATAGCATTAGTTTATATCACAGCTTGGGCTAGAGCCGTTGAGCTCCGTAAAGCCGCATTTGACAGGGTATGCCAGCCACAATCTCATCCATATTGCTATAAAATATAGCATTCTGTGTAGAATTCAAATAGCTCAGATATATTTTGTGGTCCGCGCCGACTCGCGCATGTGATCCGCTTTGTGCTATCGTGTCTCTGGACCGGAGCAGAGTGTGTGCGCGGTGCGGTGGTTAGCGTGACACAGCGCGAAACCAGACTTCTTTTTTTCCTCAATGGAAAGCATATTTACACTGTTTGAATCGTTCCCTGTCCCTATATAGTGCACTACGTGCCATTCACTGTACAGAAAATTCTAATTCTGTGGACAAGTGACCGATATCAGCCGCGGCATCAGCGTCTATTTTATAGTGTAGGGGGCGGGCGCTTCGGATTCTAGAGAGCATTTGATTGGACAAAGTTTGATGAGAAGCTGAAGTACGATGTGACGTCAAAAAAAATCGTTGAGCCGTTTTGGCGGAAGTGACGAACTGCAAGCCTTGAATGCTTATATCTTCTAAATGCGAATTTTGTCACTGTTTTGGAGCACACTGCCTTATAGATAACCTTAAGACTAACATATTGATACTAACCAAAAAAAAAAACTTTCATTTTGATTTCATGGGGACTTTAAATTTAGTTTATCCTGAGGTACTACAATAACTAAAACTGAAATAAAAAATAAACTATATATAAAAACGACTAAAAATGACAAAAACAATAAAATGATTAAAACTTGAAAATTAAAATTTAAATATAGAAATAAAAACATTAATAAAAACTACAATAATATATCAATAATACTAAAATATCACTGGCTCTGAATAACATTACATTTAAAGGATTTGTTGTAAAGTAAGCGGAACCAAAATACATTTTTATAGAGTGTATAATATTTGTAAATGTTTAGTTTTATTTACCGGTATTGCTGAATGTAATCAAATCTGACTTACACACAGATGCAACATTTTTCTCTCAACGATGCTATTTTCACCAAGCTTATAGTCATGTGCAATTTATTTTCCATAAAATACGGTACTCATTTCAACAAACAGATGTTAAACGCTTTGCCGAAACCTCACCTCCTTCTGGCACTCATGTCCACTGGCTCATCCACTATGTTTTCCTTCCCATTCTTACTGGGACCTCCATGGCCCCCGACTCTCAAACTTCCATTCATCTTCTCCTCGTAGGCCACAGCTCCCATCAGCCCCTGGCTGCCCCCGGGGCCTTTGCCCTCTGCCATGGCTGCTGCAACCGCTGCCCCCTCCAAAGCGACCAGATCCTTGCGTTTAAGGAGGGCAAGCATCTTAAGCCTCTCCATGGCCTCGTGACCCTCCATCTTCAGGCGCTTGGACAGAGCCTCGTCCCGCTCATCTTGTGCCTCCAGACCCCGCTTCAGCAGGTTCAGCCTCAACGCCTCCTCAGACATCCGCTCCATCCTATCAGCGGCATAGAAAGAGAATATCTGTGAATAAAAAGCTTTTAAATCATCCATAGTAGCAATGCAGGAGCAAAGTTGATTTAAAAAAAAAAATAATAATAATAATAAATTAATTTAATTTTAAATAACTTGAGGCAACTCTTACTTAAGAAATATTAACAAATTAACATTTAAATAAAAAGAAATTCATTGTGTTCATTTCACAGCTGTATCAATAGATTTTGCTGGTCCTGGTATCAAATATTGAAATGTTGGTATCGCGACAGCCCTTATCTGTAGACCAATGCAAATCACTTAATTATTCTTTTACAGCAAAAGAGCTGAGAGCAAGTGAGAGAGATCTACCATGACTCCTCACACGCCCACAGACTTAACAGAGCCATTAGTCTGCCTCGTGCTGAGGTAGTGGACTACAGTGCTCAAGAACCAAGGCCTCTCCAGGCTTAATTGATAAATTACATGATCATTACATACAAATCAGTGTAACTTTCATGGTTTGACTGAGGAAATGTGCTTGGGCTGCTAGTAGAGAGGGTCTCCCCACCTCACGTTCAGTGCCTGTTACGACAAGAGTCATTTCTGAGTGCAGACACGTAGCTGAATGGAGCTTCCCAAAACTCCCACTGACAACGTCACAAAGCAGTCACTGAGAGAGGTCTGACTTTCCCCACTTATGGGATGATACTTCTGGCAACAGATTACTACTTAAGAATTCTTACTCAAGATCTATAATTAGGGGATTTTTTTCTCTGATGAAGGGGAGTTTCACAGGATCAACAGCAATGCTTTCAGTTGACAAATATATATTTTTCACATATACACACATATATATATATATACATATATATATATATATATATATATATATGTGTGTGTGTGTGTGTTTTTAATTATTTTAAAGTTGACTACAGACACAACTACAGGTAAATCAACTGAAAAAAAAACTCATTTTGTGACACTAGCAGTACAGAAATTATTTTTCTAATTTTAATTTTACTTAAAAACAATTGTGCTTATTTGAATAAAGAGAAAACAGGAAATTATGACAGAAAAGGTGGGAGCTGCATTTAAACTCCTATCACCTGCATTTGAACTAGTAATAAACTGAAATTTCAACCAAAAACATGTTTTGTCTTTGAGCATATATTATATAGATATAACGAAATATCTAAGTAGGTAGATTGCATTTTCCCACAAATGTAGAATAAATTAATACAAAAGTTCTTGACAACGATGCCTATAGTCGTGCAATTTATTTTCTGGAAAATACGGTACTCATTCCAACAAACAGATGCTGAATGCTCTCCCGAAACCTCACCTCCTTCTGGCACTCATGTCCACTGGCTCATCCACTATGTTTTCCTTCCCATTCTTACTGGGACCTCCATGGCCCCCGACTCTCAAACTTCCATTCATCTTCTCCTCGTAGGCCACAGCTCCCATCAGCCCCTGGCTGCCCCCGGGGCCTTTGCCCTCTGCCATGGCTGCTGCAACCGCTGCCCCCTCCAAAGCGACCAGATCCTTGCGTTTAAGGAGGGCAAGCATCTTAAGCCTCTCCATGGCCTCGTGACCCTCCATCTTCAGGCGCTTGGACAGAGCCTCGTCCCGCTCATCTTGTGCCTCCAGACCCCGCTTCAGCAGGTTCAGCCTCAACGCCTCCTCAGACATCCGCTCCATCCTATCAGCGGCACAGAAAGAGAATATCTGTGAATAAAAAGCTTTTAAATCATCCATAGTAGCAATGCAGGAGCAAAGTTGATTTAAAAAAAAAAATAATAATAATAATAAATTAATTTAATTTTAAATAACTTGAGGCAACTCTTACTTAAGAAATATTAACAAATTAACATTTAAATAAAAAGAAATTCATTGTGTTCATTTCACAGCTGTATCAATAGATTTTGCTGGTCCTGGTATCAAATATTGAAATGTTGGTATCGCGACAGCCCTTATCTGTAGACCAATGCAAATCACTTAATTATTCTTTTACAGCAAAAGAGCTGAGAGCAAGTGAGAGAGATCTACCATGACTCCTCACACGCCCACAGACTTAACAGAGCCATTAGTCTGCCTCGTGCTGAGGTAGTGGACTACAGTGCTCAAGAACCAAGGCCTCTCCAGGCTTAATTGATAAATTACATGATCATTACATACAAATCAGTGTAACTTTCATGGTTTGACTGAGGAAATGTGCTTGGGCTGCTAGTAGAGAGGGTCTCCCCACCTCACGTTCAGTGCCTGTTACGACAAGAGTCATTTCTGAGTGCAGACACGTAGCTGAATGGAGCTTCCCAAAACTCCCACTGACAACGTCACAAAGCAGTCACTGAGAGAGGTCTGACTTTCCCCACTTATGGGATGATACTTCTGGCAACAGATTACTACTTAAGAATTCTTACTCAAGATCTATAATTAGGGGATTTTTTTCTCTGATGAAGGGGAGTTTCACAGGATCAACAGCAATGCTTTCAGTTGATATTTTTCTATTTTTCACATATACACACATATATATATATATACATATATATATATATATATATATATACATATATATATATATATATATATATATATGTGTGTGTGTGTGTGTTTTTAATTATTTTAAAGTTGACTACAGACACAACTACAGGTAAATCAACTGAAAAAAAAACTCATTTTGTGACACTAGCAGTACAGAAATTATTTTTCTAATTTTAATTTTACTTAAAAACAATTGTGCTTATTTGAATAAAGAGAAAACAGGAAATTATGACAGAAAAGGTGGGAGCTGCATTTAAACTCCTATCACCTGCATTTGAACTAGTAATAAACTGAAATTTCAACCAAAAACATGTTTTGTCTTTGAGCATATATTATATAGATATAACGAAATATCTAAGTAGGTAGATTGCATTTTCCCACAAATGTAGAATAAATTAATACAAAAGTTCTTGATGAATCATGATTTGCTCGTGAAAATGTTCGCATGCAAATTCATGTGTATGCATGGTTAGTGAATGAGACTCACTTCTCTGATGATGCATTTTCACCATTTCAGCATCCTATTTTACTGACAAAGTGAATACGGTAGCGGTACAACAGGTAAACATGTCAGCAAAATCTCAGTACATGAGAAAACATGTCAGATAAATTTGTTCAGTTGAACTATTGAGAGAAGTCTCGTTGTCAAAGAACGACCTTTTTTTTTTTTTTATGTCGACTGGTTTAATTTAGAACCTGAGAACACGACACCCTGAACACAATACAGATTTGAATTTCCCAATTTGCCAAAAATGATTTACTGAAACTTAATTCCAGTTTCAAAAATTTATGTCAGTGCCTTGCTAATTGACCGCCTCAGCTCCATACATCAGCTCATGGTACTCTAACTGCTATGAAACGGTTCTGTAGTCAGATCTAGTTTTGAATCACAGAGAGTCTGTTTTGGGATACAGAGAGAGAAAACTTTAGTGCAGTAGATTGATAAAAAGCAGTCTTGCTAAAGAGACAGAAATGCCTGGAAGACATCCTCTCAGTCCACGAGACAGAGAGCGCTGTCTCCTAAAACATCACTTATGGCACGATGAGACACATCAGGACCACACATTCTTAAGTGTACAGGTAAAAAAAAAAAAAACGATATAAAATAGTGTAGTATGCATGTTTGATTTTAACACACTGTTAACCCAATAAACGGTTTAAACCAGCGGTGACATTGAAGCACCAGATGAGCCAATCTCTACTGCTGCATTCTTACAGTCAGCCATTAACTTCCTGTTCTCCCCTCCGGACAAAAGCACAACATACAACACGGGAGCCCAACAGTCAGTCTATAACGTGACTGAATCACTGTGTGTGTGTGTGTGTGTGTGTGTGTGTGTGACTGTGTGTGTTCCCATTACGAAGCGCACACATACACCGCGGGGTCATGCATGCTCAAGTGCAGAGTTGATTGTGTACACATAAGACTCTGTCGCACTCTGGACATGTGTCACGTACTACAGATCTAAATGATCATGCGTGTGTTTGCTCGTCTTTATTAGTTAGGCACGCTTGGGCGGACCCTTCATGACCAGAGGGCAGAGAGAGGCTCTCCCCCCTCCCACACGCACACACACAGGGAGTGTCTGGACAGTGAATTTGCAGGACTCTATGCAGGCTATTGTTTGTGCTGGAACCTCTTTATCTGTCTGATGCATTTGTATTCTGCTCGTAGCTTCAGTCTAAAGGTAGAACATTATCAGGTGCTGCCGCTTGCCCAGTATTAATTCTCTGGACCCAGTATAAAGTAAGAGAGTAAACCTCTATTTATATATACAGTAAAAACTTTTTAAAGGTATACATATGCATTTTCATTTGAACAACCCCGATATTAACTGTGAAAAATATTTTTTTACACAGCAATTTTCAGCAGCTGTGTGGAAATGTATTTGAACATTGCTTCTCGATTCACAGTTGTACTTTATGAATGAGAAACATACATTGCGACCAGTTGAGAATGACTCCTGAAACAAATGACTCTTATGAACCAGTTCTTTTAATGAAAGGATAAAAAAAAAAGGATTCGTTACAAGTTTAAATCAAGAGGAAGGGGGAATGTGAAAATTTGCAGGAATAACAAAGAATTTCTTACAGAACAAAATGGACATTATAACTGAAATCTATTCAAATGAATGAACAAATTGGAAACTATTCTAAATCAAGAGTGTATGAATTAATTCAATTTAATTCCTAATCCAAGTTCGATTATTGGAATACTGGAAATTGTAATCTAATCGATTAAATAGCTTGTCAATAAGAATCAAATATCAGATTTAATTGGAATTAAACCACAACGAGAGCTTAGGAATTAAACCAAAACTGGAATCTAATGAAATCAATAGCTTGTAAATGAATCATAATCTTACCAAATTGAGATTTTGAGAATCAGAATTTGAATAAGACTCAAATAGAACTTGGAATCTAATCGAATCATTAGCTTAGGAATCAGAATCAAACAAAAAAAAGAAATTGATAACAATGAGAGCTAGTAAATGACAAATAATCTTATAAAAATGAAGACCTTGAAAATCAGACCCAAATCAAAATTAGAGTCTAATTGAATCATGAGCTTAGGTATCAGAATCAAATCAAAATAATGAACAAATAATAAAAATAATAACAAAAAGAGCCTGTAATCAAATCCTTTTAAATAGAGAGCTTGAGAATCAGAATCAAAAATCAAAATTGGGATCTAATTGAATTAAACTTGTGAATCAGAATTTAATCTAGAAAACTGTATATCATGCTGGAGTATATGTTATAATCATATTGCTATGTAGGGGCAGCACCATTAAGTATACGTATGTTTAAATATGAATAAAAGGAGTATACACACAGGCCAATTGAACATATTTTTATAGTGTGAAGCAGACAAAATATAAACAGAATCTATTCACTTTTGAAAGAAAACACATTCATCTCTGACACCTCTGAGCTCCCCTCTCTGTTTGAGGTCATGCAGAATTCAAACATTTGCCCAAGGACTCCTTAACTTTGATTTTAGTGCATCTACAAGTAAAGGATTGTGTATAATGTGATGCACCGGAGCGAAGCTGGGATCAAAGTTGCGTGGACACGCGTATCGGTCAAGAGAAAAACAGCATGGTACCACCCTCCTGCACTAATAGACCACATAGACAGACGGCGAAGGAGAGTTTCTTATGGGTGGGTTGACAAATGATGCCCTTTGTGATGTAAACATCACGTAGGTCCTGATACAAACACTCAAGCACCATACATGTTGCCTAAATGCTTTTGTTTGGCTCTAATTAATATTAGGTAACATCCAGCTCCTGGAAAGCTCAGCTCTATTTATCCACTCCCATAAGACGTTACTGACAGCAGGCAGTACTGTCTATGGCAGCCATGGTGACCTTGCCTAGCCATAATATTAAGAAAAAAGGCTTTAGAAGTGTGTGTGTGTGTGTGTGAGAGCGAGATTAATCTGTATTCACTAACTGGACATGTGACATTTCCACATTTCTGGTTGCAGTAATACTATCTAAGACCTCCGTGACCAATGACCAATTACTTTCTGACTTCTCTGATATAGTGATATAAATTGAATACGTTTGAGGTCTTCTATTCTGACAGTCTAGCAAGCTACATTATCGTGAATATTCAGCTAAAGTTCAAAACAAAACATGGCGGTTGCACAGCTTTAAGACCATCTAGATCGGGGGTATCAAAGTCACGGCATGTGGAGGAGTCCAATGTGTCCTGCAGGATGATTTGAGGAATAACTTCTTAAAAGTACAAGTTATAAACAACATGTATATTTGTTATGTTAGTTTAACATATTCATAAGATTCATACAGCAGGAAAGATAAACTCTTTGTAGCATGAATTCATGTTTTCCAGCTGATTCTGTCAACTGTCCCAAACCAGACCAGTTCATTTATCCATTCTGAAATGTGTCACTTACAGCAAATAATGGCAACACTGACAGGTACAAATAAAAAAAAAAATACCCAAGGTAAAAAGTGAATTTTCCAACTATTCCCAAGTCTCCATTGTAAGATTATTTCAGATATGTAAGGGATAACTGGCAGATGGTCATTATAAAATAAACAATGGTCAAAAATAAACCAGAATAACACTTACCCAATAGAATAAAACCTTAAAGATCAAACGTTTGGCATCAGTAAGATTTTTTTT